CTTTGACCTGAAGTCTCATATTAAATTAGAAATGGATGTGATGCATGATTTCCTTATCAGCAGGTAGGTAAGCTCAGCAAGCCTTTCTTCTTAACCAAGTCATTTTCTGATGCAACAAACTGTACCCTTATCCCGCCCAAAGAGACTTTGAAAAGTGTTTGCAGTCTCAACTTAAAGCTTGAGATCACAAACCCACCAAATATTAGACAATCATATTTTAGAATGGTCCATGTACAGTTAGAGATGCTGTGTACCGTATGTGAATTCCTCTTTAATTGGTGATTATAAATAGTCTACAAACTATAGTACTGTACAAAGTTCTCAAGAGTCACAGCCTCAGCTGTATTTTACAGATGTCTGTAGACACTCGCTGTTATTCCACTCTCCTGGTAATTTGAACAAAAAAAGTTCAAATTTGTTTTTTAGGGACACACGACGCACCATGTCCAGATATGTCATCCAAAAGGTTTTTCTGCAGCACATTGTTGGTGCAAAAGTATTACTTTATGCCTGTCAAACTGTGTTATACTGGGCAATTTTCATAGATTCAGCTAACAAAAAAAACAGGAGCAAATAATGTATTTTTGTGCAGGCTGCTAGTAACAAAAAGCTTAAATGTACATTTTAAAACTTGGTGCCTTGCTAAGCTTTCTATATGTGTAGAAACTAAATTATTCAACATTCATTCCTAGAGTTAGGTGCTTGAATGATTAACAAAAGAATATTCCTTTGAAAATGGTCAGGTATGAGTACTGCAGTGAAAATAAGAGAAAAAGTAGTGAATGTCCAAAGAAAGCCTTTGACTTTCAGGAAGCCTGGGGAACTATTGCTTAAGACCACTTTAAAAAAATACATGGACCTCAGGCTCCTAAAGAAATGAAGGATGGCACAAGACTTTTGCACGGTACTGTACCTTTTCTCAAAATGGGCATTGCAGTCCTTTTTCAGCATCAGTACCTCTTGCAACATTCGTGTGGACAGAATTAGATTCACAGTTCCCAAATGTATGTGTCTGTAAGAATGTGTGACCATTCCAAGTGTATTAAATTAGTGTGTAGCTGCTGGTTGTGGTTGTCTGTGTGTCCCCGCCACAGATTATAGGGCCTGTCGGCAGACGGGGCTCTAAACATGGGTCACAAGACAGCCCAAAATGTGACAAGTTCATCTCAGAGAGCTGATAGCTGGTATCGTGTGTCTTAAAGCACATGTGCTTATATAGCACAGAATTTAGTGTTATTTCTGTATGTGGGTGGCCTGGATGTGTGGTTCTGTATGGAAATATGACATACATGTGTTTGAGTCATGTTGAACCACTGTGGTACTTTCATATAAAAGCAGAGCGTGGATTTTTTTTAAAAACATTTTTCAGTTTAAGAGCAGAAATTATGTCAATGAACCGAAATAGCTTAGTCGTTCCTAAACAGGGGTGCAAATGCTCCAGGGTTACTTCTGTAGTAGCCAGTGGTTAAATGGGTAAAAATGACCTCAAGTGCCGGTGGTGAAAAAAACAGATATTATGATGTAATTATAAGATTGAGTGCACCTGAATAGGTTAGAAATATTAACTAAAAATAATGGGTAAGCAGTAGATACTTTGTACTCAGATAATTATAGATAAATGTTTAAAACAGATAAGCAATTGAAAAGCAATTTAATTGGAAGAAAATACATACATATATATTTTTGTCTTATGAGCAGTGGTTGTCAGGTGGTTCTGCTCTGTATCCTTAGTTGTTTCCCTTTTGCAGACACATTTGACACTACAAACATACCATAATCTGCTTGTTAACTGTATTGTATCGTCAACCATATAGATGTAAAACTATATTACCGCCTGTCTGACCTTTTGAAATTAATCTTGTCTTGTTTTTTGTCCATGATTAATAGTAAGCTTCTTTTCTTAAATTAGTACACCACCATTTCTATTTTTAGATTTCATTTTTATTTCCTTTGTTGCTACTTAATTTTTCCACACGGTAAAGTAGAGCTCATATAATAATTTTTACCTACGCCTGTTGTGGCTTGACATAGCAGATGAATAATATCTGCCTACAGAGTGTATTGCTATAGCCAGAAACAACACATGTGCATCTGTCTACTTTCTAACCACATACCTAATTAGTATTGCAGTGGGGCTGGATCATATCCCAGCTGACAGAAAGAGGCCATACATACTGGACAGATCGCCAGTCCATCACACGGCCAATAACAACACTAAATCTTTAATGCTTCACACTGAGTAATATTTCTTGCCAAGTAGATTTTGGGTAGTGTCTTTGAGTTTCTAATTCAAGTAACTTTAAATTTCTGAATGGAAACAAAAGCTCAGGAGTTGTGGGTGAATCTCTGGTTGCCTTTCTGTTTGTGCAGTTTGACTGCTGTCACCTAGTCAGTCTGTCATTCACTCAATTTTATGAATGTGTGTGGGTGGGAGCTGGTGAACCAGTTTTGCCACCTGTGTGTGTAGGTGTGTGTGTGTGCATTGAGTCCTTAGTACTGTTAGCTAATTATATAACAACGCTTTTCTCATTCACTCCCACTCATCCTCCCTCCCTCACTTCATCACTCTCTTTTTATGTTTGTCGTTATCTCTTCATGCTTCTCCCCCACACGCGTACACAAACACACATGAACGCACACGCAGCACAGCATCAATAGTTCATACATGGGTACATGCATGTGGATTGCAACCATGTCCATTGTGTACACGTATAGTGGTGACTGTCATGCTTACACATAAGAATACCATGTATTTTACTATCAGCCTCCGGTGTATTGTCTCCGGTTTCAGTTTTTGTCATCTGCTTTGTACTTCTTATAGAATAAACTGTATTATCTGTCAGCTTGTATAACTTGTGGCTCCAATCCAATGTTGTCTCATCTAAATGGTGCAGACGACTCCATTTCCGATTTAGGCACAAAGAACAAAAAGACATAACATGGATAACGTGGGACTTCTAACTAGGCTGCAGCCATTTTGTACGAGTAATTAGTAAATTGTTTTTTTTTTATTCCCGTTTATTAACAAGAATTTAAAAAAAAAATTGCAGAAAATGCGATTTCAAGACTTATTTTATTACCACTAATTGCTGCAGTTTGCATGCAAGATGCTGACGTGTCTGCAAAAACTCGCCAACAGTACGATTTAAAAAAAAGTCCTGTATTTTAAGTGAGCACACAATATATGTGCCTAGTGGATTTATCAGTCAGGCAGTTGAGAGCAATTTTTAAGTATACACTATTTCTAAAATTTCCCTTTGTTAAAAAAGGAATTCAGTTTACAGTCATACTAACGCCCTGCCACATGTACATGGGTATTTTAGTATTTTAGTCTTACTTCTATGCATTTTAAGTCACTGAAAACTGAACGTTTGAAAAATTCCTTCCAGAGTTAAGACTTTCCAGATGTCTCCAACGTCAGAAATGTGCACGTTCATTCCCTTTTTTCAGGTCAGACTGTGGGCTGCATTACTGTTTGTAGGCTTCTAAATACACAACATTTCTACAGGGTTAGGGTTCTATTACCACCTGTTGCTTAAGCATGCTTTTCACAGCACTTTGCATCATTTTCTTTGTATTCACATGTGTCCAGAAGTATTTCTCAAAAACAAAAGAGGAATATGTACATTTTATGAGTGGATCTAACCTTCACGGAAGAGGAAAGGCAATTTGTGAATGAACATCAAATAATGAACCTAAATTTTCTGTTGTTTGATGACTTGCAAAAACTTCACATCCACTCAAATCTCCCCACTGTTGTAGGCAATTTTATTTTAATTTATAGTGATGGTAGAGAAATAAAGTGATATGACATGTAATATGAAAATAGGGAAGTTCTTATTGTTTACAACCACTAAAGCGACAAGATAAGGGATGTTTTCACTAATAATCAGAGGGTTACTCCAGGAAAATATGGAGCAGAAGTGATGAGCTATATGATGAGGTTAGTGAGGAGATGATGGGCTGAAACAGCATTTTATTAAATACGTGGACTGTTTTATGTTAAAATGGCAGCAGTTTAACTTTTAAACAAGTTTTAAAACAACATAGCACCATATTAAATTTACATTAAACTTTGGGGTTGTTTGTGTGTGTGCATTCAACTGACTTGTCCTGGTACAACACCTCCTACTTGAGCACAGCGAGGACCAGGCAAAGTCGTGACTTGCAACGCCCTCAAACAGTCTGCCAGGGTGTGATTCCTGCTCTAGAATAAACTCTTAATGCACATTAAGAAAAGCATTGTCAATTTTCACAAGATGGGATAAGATGTTATTTTCTTATCCAAAGAGTTATTGTGTCGCGTGGAAAATATTACTGTTATTTTTCGGTTTGCAATCATGTGAATTTTGCTTTGACCTTGCGTTATCTTGTATTCATACATTTCTTTGGTTTTCCTGTGGAAGGAAATGGTTGTCATTCGACATGTTGCCACATTTCAAGCAAACTGGACTGCACTGCAGCAAAACCAGAATCTGATGAAGAGATTAGATAGATACGGCTATAAATTTTACTGATGCTATTTTAGAAACAGTTACACTTCACAGTATATTAGCGTACACACTAATTTGCTTAGCTCAGTTTGACTGTGGACAAACTAATTTTAGGCTTGTATTGTTAAATACAGAATAGTTTGCCGGCTTCGGCTTTGATATGATTAAGTTTCCTCTATGACTGCAGCTACAAAAAGTCTATAAACAGCAGTGAAGGTTTTGAGGGGGTTTCCCAGTAACCTAAAGCATTAAGTTGTGTAACTTTATAGCTGCGGAGAATTTTTTTTCTGCCTCAACATTCTCCAAAATCACACTACTCACATAATGGATGATGCTTTTATTTTAAAGCATGTTTTAAGTTTAATGAGCATAATACAAGGGTTAAAAATGATTAGATCCTGAGCTTATCATCTATTGGAATCACCACTCTACTGTCTGGTATAATATAAACACATTTACGTTGCAGTCATCTTTGTGCTAATATCTTCTCTCTTCCTTTCTGTGCAGTGACAGCTACATCGTACGTGTAAAAGCGGTGGTGATGACGCGGGACGACTCGAGCGGTGGGTGGCTGAATCAGGACGGGGGAGCTCTGAGCAGGGTAGGGGTGTGCCGCCTGCTGCCGACAGAGTTGGCACCTGTGTTGGGCTCCACCAGCTCCCAGTTCTTCATCCGTGGTGAACGAATGCGGGACAACCAGGTAAAATACACACACGCATACATGAATGTGAGCAACAACGTGTCTGTTAAAGATCAGAAATGGATCCATGTTGTAAATGGTTGGTGCGTGTCGTATCAACAGGTGATCCTGGATTGCCCGCTGAGGAAGGATCTAGTGTACACCATAGCGACGCCCACGTTTCACCATTGGAAGGTGGAAGACAGAAGGTGCGGCCTATCCTTCCAGAGTCCAGCTGATGCCAGAGCTTTCGACAGGGGAGTTCGAAAGGCAATTGATGACCTGGCTGAAGGTAAACTGTGCTGCAATATAACTATTCAAATGTTTTGACAAGACAGAGAGAGACCTGTCCTAGCACCTATAAAGCTTCCAGAGCTAAAATATGCCCAGTCTCTAATTAAACACACCCAAACCGAAGCTGAAAAGCTTTATTGTCAATCGACGTCAGTAAACACTCTCCTGTTGGGTTAATGGGCTCATTTGTTAGTTTCAAGTCTTACTGTATAAAACAGGACATTTGTTTTATAGATGATGGTACTTATCTGGGAAAGATAAAGCAAGATATGCTTAGTGGGCATACGGTCTTTGTAGACTTCACTGCTTTGTTTTCTCGAGGTCTGGTTTCAGAAACGTAAGACAGCAAATGCTCGTCTCAAGTCTTTACAACAAACCTTACTAGGTCATGGGTGATGGGTGGCTAAGTCCATCTTTTATATACAGTCTACAGCTGTGGTCAGAAGTTTAGATACACTTATCATATCTGCTTTAAAGTCATTAAAGATGTATGCTAATCATTGGAAAAAGGACAGTTCAAAGAAATCATCAAAGCCGAAAATTACCGTCACATTTATGTACATAATTGGTGTATGTAGCCTTCTGACCACAGCTGTATGTGTGCCCACCATAGTCCACTAAAGGCAGACTTCTTGTTTCAATCCCATGCTCCTCCTGAACTTTAAAAGCTGCAGCAGCTTGCTACTATTTCTCCAGGAATTCCACGTTCTAGTTATGACTAAACCATTGTTTGCGTCTTTCCGACTACATAAAGAAAAGGAAACCACACTACTTAATGAATAAGACACTCACTAGCTGGTTCAAGGTTTGAAGTTTTAAAGCATAACACAATCCACCGGTATAACCAGTTAGTCTTGGCAAGGACATGAATGAAGGTTAAGTATGTGGAGGAACGTGTACCAGAAAGTAAAGTTTGTTTTTTGTCAAGTTAAAAAATTTTGGTAAGGGACAGGATGAGGAAGTCAGGAGCTATTTGATTGCCATGACGTTATCAAAGGACATCAAAAGATTCTTTGTTGTATGTAAAAATTAAACAACCTGAAATAAAGTTTATTCCCTTCTCCTGTCTGTAGGCTCCACGACCTCCTCTACGGCACTCCAGAATGAGGGGGAGCTGGGTGACGATGACGTCTTTACTGTAAGCACTTTATTTTGCATTAATAACTATGATGGTCACAACTTTTGACTCACAGCAGGCGGCATTACTAAGTTTCAGTTTGTTGTGGACACAGTAGATTGAATGTGTGGTTGTGTGCGTAAAGATTTTGCAACAAAATACGGCTAGCTTACCTAAAATGGGCTTCAGGATCACACGGATAATATCATCTATACAATGTCAGGTCTTCACAGCACCATAATCGCTGGTCATACATAATAAAAGTCTCTGTGATGTCTGTATACAACTCTCAGCTTTAGTCTCCACCACAGAAAAGAAGAAGCCAACACCTAGTGGCTCTAGTCACCACTACAATTGAACTGCTAGATCCAAAAGATCATCAAAATTATTCATCCCAGTTCACGGCGTCATCCATGTGCTCTGTAGGCTCTCTGCTGGCAAAGTACACATCAACTCTGAATGGAAAGATCCAAATCAAATGCTTAAGGCCCGATCTCTGGTAAAATGTTCATGCAAATCTCGTATCCGTTTGAGTCATCCTGCTAACACAAACAAACTAAACCAACACCCTGGCAGTGATAGAAATCATGCAGTAAAAGGCTCTAAATAAAAACAACTGGCCGTAGACTCAGCCAGCTGCTCTGTACTACAGATTAGACAGAGTTGGAGCTTTTCAGACATCAAACCACTGCAAAACCTTTTTAATGTTGTGTGTGAGAACTTCACTGCTCTGAAAATTAATCTCTCACTACCATCATGAGGTAAACAGAAGTAGTGTGCCTCAGTGGTCTGTGTGGTATTACTCAAAGGCAAAAGCTGAGCCAGGTTTTTGTCAACACAGCATCATTTCTCACAATGTCATCTGGAAAGGAACACATTCCTGGATTACTTTGTACACACTGTGTTTACCTAACTATCAGTGCAACAAAACAGAAAATAATTGCTGCTGTGATAACTTTCTAGAGTTATAAAACGCTGTTGTGAACATTATAAGCTGTTGCACAGTGCTGTGCTGTTCATTAGGGGTTAAAACGCTGAAACTGGACTTCCTGGATCACATTTCATGTCTATCCAGTACTTTAAACAACACGCCTTTTCCAGCACCGCTACAAGCCTTGTTTTAATGCAGGTCGGATGTTAGTCTGAATGGCTTTTTAGGTGTAGACCTCCATGTGTGTTACCTTGACTGCACTAGTCCTATCTTAGAAGTTCCACTCTTCATAACTGGAGAAGGAGGCAGCAAAATTAGGATCTGGTCTGGAGCACACACTGATCAAATTTATTTCATCCATCGTTCAAAAATTAGGTCTGCTCAGGAGTTCACAGAGTATTCGCTGCCGGTCATCTATACCTGCCACAGTACAGGAAATGTATGCACACATACACACACACACCCTCCCGTAATCTGACACAAGGGCCAGCAGGCAGGGTCACAAGGTCACTTCCTGTGTCCCAAAAGCTCCCACTCTCCTGGTGACCCCACCCCCCTCCCCCACCCGCGCCATCCCTCTCCCATTTGAAACAGAGAAACACTACCAAACTAGCAGTTAGCAGCTGTTTCCCAGCTTAGCGCAGGGCCGGTGATTTACGAGAGGAAGTGCCTCGTGGTTCATCTTTGACTCGAGCTGTCTGTACGGGCCAAGACTAATAGGTGCTGTGCTGGGAGCACACAGCCACCACAGAGATGCATACAAACACTTGAGGAGTGGGGGGACTACAGCACTGTCGGAGGGCGGAGCAATCCCCTGAAATGGAGCAGCAGGTTTTTGCTAACAGAGAGGCTAAAAGTGCAACAAATCCACGGCAATTCATGGGTATTGTTCCATAAAATTGACCTTTTTTTCTCCACAAATGAAGACCCAGAAAGCCCACATCCATTTCAGTTAAATCCCCACTGACTTATAAAACAAAACAGTATGATAGCCTCGATTTTTCCATTTCCCTTGTGGCCTAATATAAACTATTTTTTAGCACAAGGCTCACCCTGTTTGGTGCATGAGTCGTGCTAGCAACCAACAAAGCCTGCCTGAGGAAATATTATGCATTGCCTCACGTCTGCTTTTAAAACTTGTGCTGAAAAATGCCACAAGATTACAGCAAACAGCCAGCAGACCTACACATAGCATGCGACTGCATAAGAGGAAATACTAGGACACAGTCTGTATTTGTGATCTAAAAAACATAGTGGAATTAAAAACAAAAATAGGCTACATGTTGGGTCTGATTCTGAATCTTATGCTTGTGCCAGATATTAAAAAAATAAAAGTTACGGGGAATATTTCCCCACAGACATTCAGAAAGACACTCGAGTATTGTCAGGATCCAACTGGACTCATGAATGAAACCAGGGGGAAACAATTACTGCCTCGATTTGTGTCTTCCCTGCCCATTTTTAGGGTTTCTCTCTCAACATCTCTGTATTTTTCTACCTGACGACTGCTGCATAGCATATTGGAATATAAAACCCCTAAACATGAATATAACAACAACAGCCTTATAGAACATGTCAAAAAGTTACTCCTCTTCTAATGAAACGTTGCAAAGTGTCATGACTGTAAAATCACAGGTGGAACATGAGGGGTTTAGTGCTGCTCGTGTTCTTCTGTGTTAATGACCTTTCCTAAAGTTAGCAGCGGCGGCGGTGGCAGTTAGTGAGGCAGGCGGTCGTAGACAGAGGGAAATGCTGGAGCAAATTTACAGCCTTTGGAGGGATGGGGGAGGATGGTTGGATGGGCTTGGGGGATAGGATGGACATACTTCCCTAAATGATTCCTCGTTCGCCAAACCTAAACTTAACCTAACCCTTCCTCTGTCCCTCCCTTCAGCACATCTCCCCTCTCTGTCTCTATTTTGGCTCATTCACAACAGGGGGAGTGAAAGCTATAGATGCAATTCTGGACTCATCCCAGGAGAGCGAGACAGGCCTGTTGAAGGATGAATCCTCCCGAGCTTTGAGTCGGGGCATGTTTTGTGTCAGAAAATAACTTGAAATGCCCTCTGTCCAGCCTTGGACCAGAATATATAGAGAGAGAGGATGTCCAGAAATACAAACTCTCCCCCTCAACTCCTCCCTTTGTCTCCCTGTCCTCTTGTGCAGTCTGAGCTTGCAGCTGAAAGTCTGGTCTGTGTTTTGAATTAGATGCAGCCATGGAGGCCAGAGTCAGACTGGTTTCAACCATACCAACTCCTCCCCCAACAATGGCTTCGCCAGGGGGCGGAGCCCAAAGCTGAGGCAGCATGTTATGTTATTTTTGGCAGGCTGCTCTGAGGGCTTTGTAAGAAAGCTAAGGGGAAATTCTCAGCATGGCAGTATCCATGTGGGGAGTAGGATATAATGGGGATAGCTTCAGCAAGACACACACACACACACACACACACACACACACACACACACACACAAATATCAGATCTGGGTCATATAGTTCTGCAGAATAGTTTGCAGCATTGGATTTAGGCTTATTGGAGTGCCAAATATTTATATTTTTTTGGTGGTGGGGGGGGGAGAATAGTTTAGGAATAGTTTTAGAAATTCTAAATGATGTCAGTAGCTTCCAAATAAAAGTAGAATTTGCAAATCCTTAAAACTTCGCATTTCATTTAAAAACAAACTATCAGGTGTTGGTACAGAAATCCATTAAGATATTTCCCAAAGTACAGGATGAGACATCTTTCCCGGATTACTTGCTGTAGTTTTGAAAGCATAATGTTTTCACATTCTTGGTCACCACAGAATTTCAGTTGCTCAGTTTTATAATGTCACAATATCACAGGTCCTGAGATCTGATAACAAGCTGAACAGGCTGCCCCCTCTTAGCCCGGAGGATATGGTGTCCAAATGAGCTACTCCTACTCTGCATCCTCCAAAATCCCAGTATGTGCAAAATGTCTTTGCACAGGACGGTTTTAAATCACCTCCCTGATGTTACCTGAAGTGTTCCTGAGCCTGTGAAGTGATTTCCACTTTAGACTCAAAGATCACAGCCGATTATTTTTGGTCTTGACCTTGTTTCTTTCATTCAGAGATTTCTCTGATATTCAGTGTTAATGATGATTAAATGCATAACTTCTGTTATTGAATGAGGTGTGAACTTCTCTTTATCTTGCCTTCTAGAAGTTCATTCACCAATCATGCCTTGATTGGCGTTTGTTCGTGTGGTTTCTTTTTGTGTTTGTTTTCTGTGATTTGTTTGTAAGCAATTCAGAAATTTTAATATATTGAATTGCACAATTAGCTGTATTATGTAAGGACAGCATGCTAACAGCTGGAGTGGTAAGCATAGAGTTTTACATGTTAGAAATATTATCATTAGCATGTTGGCATGTTAGTGTAAGCATGTAAGCTCAAAGGCATGACCATTGCCTATACACATAATGTCGCCTCCAACGGTAGCAATTCTGGGTTCATTGCTTTGCTCAAGGACACTTTATTATATCTCCAAAATGACAAAAGTAGTTGCCATTAATAGAAAATTCCTTGCATCTACAGCCACCCCTCTCTATGGCAGATCTAGCTTTTTGTATATCTGTCCAGTAATAGTTGAAGAGAAGTTGGATAGTTTGAATTAAAAAAAAAAAATCGAATCTAATTTGTGAAATAACATTTCTGGGAAAACATGTTGGAAATCTCACAGCTGTTGCAGATAGCTAAGAGAAGATGGTCAAGAAAAAGTAAGACATGCAAAAAATCGTTCTTGCCATTGACTTCTTGTGACCAGTCTTCCCCAAAGCAAGACAAAATGCAGAGGATACATTTCAAGCACAGCTTCTCAAACAGAAACACCTGCACCCTTTGCCCCGCGGCTAAACACATCTACAATACATGCACTCATATTACAATGCTGATATGATTAGACAAAAGGAGTCCTTGCCTATCAGCTGGTGGCTAACAGAGGCTGACCCCCATTGTGCATGTCTGAAATCGGCAGCGGTCTGACTGTCTTGTGTCTGGCCAGTGTTTGAGTTGGACTGGAGCCCTGATAGACTTTAGCGGAAAGGAGACGGGATACTGTTCACATGTGCACACACATGTGTGGAGAGGTGGAAAAGGGAGAAGGAAAGGTGGAATGTGGAGAAAGTGCGATTGAGGAAAGGAGGACAGGTTGACTGGGGAGAAGGAGATGATGTGTAGAGGCTTAAAAGGTGAGCCTGTGGATATGGTGTGTGTACAGTTTTTCTGCAGACTTTAAAAAAACATTTTAAAGGATGCTTCTGTTTCCACTTTTTTGGATTTAGGAATATTTTGTATCAGTCACTTGATCTTCATGAATGCTTAGGTTTCTTGTTTTCAGTCATTTTAAAAAAAATGTTAATTTAATTGATTCCCTTTTACTTTTATTGTCAAATACCCAGTTCATATGAATATACAAGACAATATATTCATACTCAGTCAGATAAGAGTTTTTGCTGTGAAAATATGTTAAAAAAATAAATTAAATCAAAGTGGTTAATTTAATTGTGATTTTAGGTGTGATGGTTCCTGCAATGTTTTCGTAAGTGATTCTTTGTGGCAGGTGTTGTTAGTAAAAGCTTAACTCGCATATAGCAGTCCAAAAGTGGATTGGAAAACAGAGCTCACACTTCCTGTTTTTCCAATCAGTGCTGCATGGAGGCTTCCTGTTTTTGTTTGTCCAATCAGGGTGTCCTCTCTCACTATTTGTTTGACGTGTGCAATCAGAAATCAGCTTTTCAGCCTGCATCCTGTGTTTGTTTGTCACCTCAGAATACCACAGACAGCTCATCCAACTCCTCCCAGAAACTGGAGACCTCTCTGCAGCCGCTCGAGTCCTCGCCCCTTCCCCAGAGACACAAGTGCCCGCTGGGATTTCGCCACGATCCCTATCGGCTCTCAGACCACTACTACTTGGACCAGGTGAGACAAACACGGCTAAGCTGTATCCATACATATTTTATACATATATTTTATGAGTGAATTACTGCCAGTGTTGTTTATGTTATATACTCTCTCTGTTGTTTAGCCATTGTCTCGGATTCCCCGCCATGTCACCTTCGAGGACGAGGAAATCGTCCGCATCAACCCTCGGGAGCGCAGCTGGGAGCGGCCCGCCGAGCGTCATCGTGGACGCCACTCAGATCGCTCCTGGCTCACCGGCTACGAGGACTACCGCCACACAACAGTGCGTGACAAATTCATCAACATGGACGACCCTGAGCCCAATGTCCACTTTGACAAGACAGAGGCGCAGAAGCACGACTACACGTACCCGCTGGCACCGGCCCTGTCGCCCTCAGACTCTGATCCCTCCCTTGGACCCTTAAACAGTAAGGGCCAAAACGTCTCGTATCGCCAGCAGTTCCCGTCTGTGGTGTCCAGTCAGCCTCGCTCCCTACTCCCGAGCTCCTCTTCATCCACCAATGGTGGGAAGGGGCAGAAGGATGACAGAATGGAGCGTGCTCAGTGTGAGCACTGCGGTGAGGCTTTTTACCTCTCCAGCAACCGGAGAGGTAGGTGCCAGGATGCTCCAGACCCGGTGCGCATGTGCATCCGACGGGTCAGCTGCATGTGGCTGGCAGACACCATGCTCTACCACTGCATGTCTGACCCAGAGGGGGACTACTCAGACGCCTGCTCCTGTGACGGGGGCGAGGGTAGCGGGGGAGGCTGTCTGGGCACGCGCTGGTTAGCCCTGTTTGGTTTGTCTTTGGTGGCGCCCTGCCTCTGCCTCTACCCACCTCTCCACGCTTGCCACCAGGTAGGGCTTGCATGCGGCTGCTGCGGAGGTCGACACAAGGCCCTGAGCTGAGCGGCCGTGCTTTGAAACCTCAGAGGGACACGACTCAAACCTAAACCCAATGCAAGGACAGGGAAAGGGAAGGATGGGGAAACGAACAGAAGGGACAAGTGGTCATGGCTGCTTACTCTCTTGCCTTGTTTTCTCTGGGTTTCTCTACAAATTCCAGACACTGAAATAAGCCAAAAAAGAAAAAAACTGCTGGTGCATTTTCTGAACGGCCTGGGAAGATAAGCTCCCCCTTACGGCAGACAGTTCTCTCAGCTCTCCACGTGGCCATTTGCTCTGTTTCTAGTGAGAGAGCACTCTTTTTCAGGGGGCCTTTTTTTTTTTTTTTTATAGCTGACCTATATGTCATGTATCACATATGCAGGTACTTTATATTGTTATATTTGTACACTGACTCGGCGTCAAAGAACTTGAATTGTTTCTTTGTCCTGTTTTTCATTCTCTCCTTTGATGTACGCGTGGCCATTTTGTTTATACTCTATTCCAATATCAGGCCCGCTCAGCTCAACTCCAGCAACACGAGACATCAAACACTACATCTCTTTGCGCATGTGTGTTAGTGTGCGCGTGTGTGTGCGTTGATGGTATATGTGCATGCTTGTGCGCCTAGGCCTTTTGTTGTCTGTACTGCAGCTTATAGTAAAGCTCATGTATATAGTCTACATAGCTCTCCACCATCAACGTCTTCTTTGTTCACCGAGGCAAACGTGGTACTCATCTTAATCTTCGTCTAATATCCCAAAGATTCAAGCTTTCATCCTATTTATTTTTCTCTCTTAAATTGATCCACCATCAAAAGGGTGCTGGGCTATGATTCATTCACTGAATGAGACGGTGCCTCAAGTCACGCTAGCATCCGCCCCTGCTCCTTTCAAACATTATTTCAAACAGTGCCTAAAATCGCCTGAACCGGGAACCCACTGAGTCTTATTCCAGTCAGATTTTGGCTCATTTTTACTTACAGTGCACTTGGAGTAGTGTGATTTTTTTTTTTTTCTTTCTTGTTCTTTGCAGAACCTTAGCCAGCGGTCTGTGTTACATCAAGGACTGAAAAATCAATCTGATACCGTTTAAATTGGTGCCCATATGCCTTAAAATGTGGAGTCTCACTCGTCTCTTTTAAGATGTCTGCTATAGCGAAAAGTGTGAGCTTGGTTATGGCTCAATCAAGTCTCACCACATGTTCTTTGAAACTCCATTTAATCTATTTTTGTAATAAAAAAGAAACTCTTTTAAAAAAAGAGCATGTAAACTATGGATTTTAGTTTGCCAGCGAAGTACAATCACCTCTCCCCCGCCTGTCATTTATGTGCAAAAGCAAATGCCAAAACTCGTACAACTCTATTGAAAACATCCAAAATCACTCCCAAAAAAAAATGAATAAAGGTAAAACATTAATGCTGACTTTTTAAAACATGGGACTTGTGGGTTTTTGGGTTTGTGTTTTTTCCACTATGTATGTCAGTTCAGCAATGTGACGAGTCTGATTTATAAAATTGTAAAGAAAAGTTTGACATTTTAGGAAGCACACACAGATAAGACGTGCAATAGCGTCTGTGTGATAAATAAAAATGTAACCTAGATGCGGGATGTGGTTAGCTTAGCTTTGCGTAAACACTGGAAGCAGTAGAAATGGCCTGTCTGGCTGTCTTAGAAGGCACCAGAAACCATCCATCAGAGGGTCTAAGTTGAATCCATAATGTCAAACTATTCCCTTAAGCGCAGAATGTGGTGTTTTAATCCAGAGATTAACTTGCTGAAACCACATGTGACACATGTATGTGCTGTTCTTCTCAGTCCTACAGCAGCACTCGTTCCCTTCAATCCCAGATCTGTTGTATCACCCTAAGCACAAAGAGAGTAAAGTCATGCTTGAATATGGCATGACTACATTTCAAAAAGAACAAAAAACGTTATAGTCAGTTCAGTTGTCGTGGTTTGTGATGCTGCAGCTGGCCCATCACGCCCTCACAATAAGAGTGCAACACTAAAAGTACAACCACTCCGGTGCTAGATGATTCATCTAAGCCTGGGTGATGGCAGCATTGAGGATCAGAACGCAAACACAATGAGATTTTTAAAAATAAAGAGACGCAGGACATCAGCAGGATCCCATCGGAAAAGATCAGGAGTCTGAAAAACGTGAAATTCTGGAAACAAACATCCATCCCTGATTGTTTTGCCAAGGAAATGTCACTTACTGTAGTCGAACTACAGAATGCCTGAGGATGTCCTTTTTCCTTCCCCAGTGGTATCTTTGTCATACATCCTGTCCTGTGTACCAGTTTGTATGTTGTTGGTGTGTGTGTTTGCGTGTTGGCGTATATTCCAGATCTGCTCATCCTTTTCTGCTCCTTGATCCAAAGCTACTGGGATCAGCTGAATATGCTATGACATATGGACACCTTCTGAGTAGATTCAGATGCTGTAATTGATCGATCAGGGGCAGGGGCCAATCAGATTGGAAAGAGTGTGCGTATGTGTGTCATCTTTTACCTCCATCTTGTTTGGTGTTCTCACATGCAGAGCCATTTACAAGTGCCTGAACGCATCCTCATTATCTCCTTGTGTATTTAAATTGAAAAATTTAAGAAACAACTCCCTGTATTGAATTAGACCCATTTTTTATGCTTAGTATTTTTACCTCTGTAAAAAAGAGCAAAAAATTATATTATATATATCAAGTGTATGTTGTACATTTTTATTTCTATTTTTTTTAAATAACTGTTTCTAACATGTACAATGGATGTAGTTCTTGCTTTTCAAGAAGGAACAGGAAGTACTTTGTAGATACTGAAGGGTGGCCAGGTTTGTGAGAAAAGTGAAATGTGTGTCTTACCTTCCGCCTCCAATAAAATGAGAGAAAACGATTTTTAAAAAAGAAGTCTACAGCTTTATTTTAGTCTTTCCTTGACGATCCCACAACAATCTTCTGTTGATATTGGAATGTAACCAGCTCATAACCAGTTGAGTCAAGTGTCCTATTGCAGTGCAGACTAACTCACCGATTGCAATATGCTGGCAGTCTGTCTACATTTATAAAAAAAAGATCGATCATTGACCGATCTGTCTGAGAGTGCTAACTCTGGGACAGACTCCAGTTGTTTCGAGACAGGCAAGCAAGCAACTGCACTCGCAATCAGAAGTGGTCCCCCAAAGGATAAGGATGTTGCACAGTCAACCTCTGAGCAACCAGATCTTCATGGAAACTACTTCTAAAACAGTCTCAGACAGCAAAATAATTCAGTCACTGGGCAGCCATTGATTTTTTCCTAGTGGCAAGGTGGTTGACGTCCTGTTTTTACTCATGAAACGATTAGCTATGAACAACTGAAACAGTTAGCTAATTACAATATACTGACTATACAAACTGTTATACTCAACCCATCAGTAAAAGTAGGAGATACGTTATTGTAACTGTAAGCACACATCAGTTATGCCATTACTGATAAGTTTGTAAAGCTGAAATAAAATTAAGTTATATATTTTTTTCATTTGTTCATACAGAAATCAGCAGTGTTAAAATCACCTGGAGGTTTAGAATTCAGTGGTATGCTTAAAAGTTTATCCATGTGGTTTTTACTTTGACATGTACCACCCACCTAGGAATCATTGCACATGAAGCACAGCCCCTCATTGCAACAGCCCTCCCCAATGGCCGTGGTCTCCCCAGTGTGCTCCAAAACAACAGTGACACTACAATGACCCTAAGTAGAGAGACGTGTCCCCTTAGCAGTTTTATCTCAACTTCAGGCAATCAAAAAAGTATGCTGAAGCAACTGTATCTTCAACTTTTAAATCCGTAACATCTCTGTTCAGTTTTAGACCTGATGCAGAAACAGGATGTGTTAACATGCTGCAAAGGTAACTGTTGAACAAAATATTTGTGGTAAGGAGAAAAAAGTTAAATCCTGCCTATCTTTGGGCATGGGACCACAGCCACCAATTCCAATAATAATACAAGAAATCTCCAAAGTCAGTAGGATTTATCCTCTGGTGAACCCTTCAAAAATAAGACCTGTATTTCTGTTTCTTTTTTGAGGTGGGTGGGGTTTGTGTAAAAAAACTGGCCTCAATTCCTGCTGCAGTGCAAGTCCAAGAAGATAGAGAAAGATTTAGAGAACAATGATTTATATTATTAGGTCCATCTTCCAGCATCTGAAAGAAATTGCTTAAATGTAGATCAAATATACTGAAAAATTCAATATAGGGTTATATGAAGTCCCTAAACAGTTTTAAATCGTGGTAGAACTTAGTGAGGTAATAGCTAACAGAAGAAGTTTGATGTAAGGAACCTAACACACAAACATCGTTATAAATCACTTTTCATGAAAAGAGAAAGGGTGATTTCACGAGGAGACCCAGAGGATTCAAAAAAATGTCAAAGCCACAAGTTTTTCCCTATGACTTTGAAACTTCTAAAAAGTTTTGCAACATATTTGATGAAAGAAAGCACAAAGAAAAACTGAGGCTAGTACAGCCTGTCTTATTCTCCTCAACATGTCTTCCAGGGGAGCTGCCTCCCTCCACAGGAGGAACATGTGATAGCCATCGAGGACGTCGAGCTGTTTCACTCAGGATGTCTCTGGAAAAGCATGTGGGCGATAATGATGGAGCAAGTGAGGGGAGGGGGAGGGAAAGAGAAAAGAGAAGAGAAAGAAGGTCCCTGAGGGCTTTTGGGGGCCTGCTAAGCAGCTCAACGGC